GCGACAATTAAAACATAAATAACTCAATCTTTGTGCACATGCTCTGACCAGACCCATGGCTTTTAATCTGGAGTTTAAAAAATCAACCTGGCTGTTGATCATGCAAAAAAAACAAAAAACATTAACTATTAGGACATTATTATTTCTTAGCAATTTTATTACTATTACTATATGATTATTTCTTATTCATGCAAATTTTTGACCAGTTGTGATTAGTGTCAATATTTAAGAGTCATTTGTTGATTGTAGACTGTTTAACTTGATGTTTTGGACAAAGTGCCACTAGACTGAAAATCTGGCATCTCTTTTTTTTTTCTTTTTTTTTTTCTCCCCTTGTCCTGCCCGCATTGTGACACTTAGAATTATTGTCTGAGTGTCAACGTGATGCACAACAGATTTACTTTCACAAGCAGAGCATTATGGCTGGCCTTAATGCTCCACTTGATATATAAATTAAATTTTATTAGAATATGCTTTGGGTTTGTTTCAGATGTAATGGACATGGGGACGGAAAACAAAGAAGATAACAAAGCAGAAAAGTGAGAGAAGAGTTAAAATGTAAAGAAGGAGATAGGAATAGAGGAGAGAGAAAGGGATAAAGAGAACACAAATCAACATCATTGAAGTCTGGCTCTAGACCTGCGGAAAGAGAAAAAAAAAGAAAAAAAACCCAGACAAAACCAAGAAACCACAACAACAAACAACTTATATAATGATAGTTATAACATCATTAGAAAGTATTTTATACAGTACATGGTAATAAAATATATATTTGATGGCCACCACAACCCAACTGAGTGTGTATCTGATAAACACCTGAATCTAAACACCTGTGTGAGCTAGGGCATTAACAGAGTACCTGAGTAATCTACACTTCTATGTCATATAGGCTTCGCCCTTTAAGGCTGTCGCTGATGGGTTTATCCCGTTATGCGCAAGCATCGTACTGAAAAAATTAGTCCACGCCCACCTGCTGTGTGGGCCCCACCCGATCCGTATAAATTACGTTAAGAGCGGGTAATCTGCTCCCATTTTTCTT